CTTCCATCATGTTGGCTGGTTCTACAGCTGCGGGAGACTCGGTCGCAAGCAACGTCTCTTGACCGTCAAAAGTGGGAGGCGAGCACTGGAGGTTTCGCATAGCGCCCTCAGCGTCCCTGCTGACAAGGCGGCCTTGACGGAGATCCTCTGCGAAGAGGAAGAAACCCTCCGCGGCTTCGACTAGGTACGATTGTAAGCCCTTGCTCTCCAGTCGAATGATGGCGGAGGAAACAGGGTAGTGGTTCTCAATGAATCGGGCCCATCCGCGTGCCGCGGCCTGGATGTGTTGGTCTTCGCTAATACGTCTCCAGCCAATGCCGAGATGCAGTGTGAATTGATCGACGATCGGTTGCGCAGAGCTCTCCGATGAAAGAGTTGTGGATGTAGATGCCAGCGCTGGCTGGGCGGCATGGAGATTCGGCATGACGGCCTGGGTGAGGCGTTGGGATTTGTTGCTGCGTAGAGATGGGCGTTCTTGCTGCTCGTGGAGACGTGTGATGGCCTCTTGTGTTTTGCGAGCGTCGTCTTGCGCAGCCTTCTCTTCGACCCAGGTGCCAGATTGACTGCCAGCATCCGCCACGTAGCTACCCTTCTTGATGAGAACCATACCAGGGCCGTACTCCCACTCTTCTTCGGGTTCTTTGGGTGCGGTATGGGGTTCAGGCTCGTCGGTAACCAGGTTGGGGGCAGCCTCGTCGCGCGAACGTTTGCGACCAGCGACTCGAAGGCTTCCGGCGGGCATTGCCGGCGGCGCAGGGCAGCGTTTGAAGGCGTTGGGCTGACCAAAGGGCGCGGCCTGGGCAGAGTATGGTTCCATGCCGAAGCTCGCTTGATGGGCTGGTTGGGGAGGGAGAGCCATGACGGGGGAGCCAGCGGAGAAGGAGTGACCGAAAGGAGACATGGCTGTATTGTTAGACCTGCGCAAGGTAAGTTCAAATCTCAGATTCAAGTAACTCTTTTACGAATCACGATGTGTTAGTAATTGAGCAAGACGTTGGTCGCAAAGTCTAGTGGCTGGATAGTTGTGTTGTGTGGGAGGATTTGAAGACAGTCGTCTGGCGAGGCGGTTGTAATGGTTTTGAAAAGATGGCGACTGGGTGGTGATGAAAGGTGGATGGTAATTGGTAGGATGAGATGGCTAGACCCGAGTGATGATGGGTTGGAGCAGGTTGGTTGAAAGAAGGAAGAAGCTGTTCAGGACCAGACGGGAGACTGAGCAGTTAATGGAAGAGTGGGAAGGCGTCTGACGAGATGGCAGGAAGCAGACATGCAAGAGTTCAGGTTGGTATGTGTAGCAGGAAGGAGGTTGAGGTTGTCCCAGAGACAAAGACTGGACGAGTTGCGGCAGGAGAGTGGATGAACTGTGGTAAGGAAGAGGGAGGGAACGCGCCGCCAGTAAGAGGTGGGCGAGAGAAGAAGGAGCTATCCTTTTGTATCCTACAAGGTCAATTGAGAGACGGAAGGAAAACGCAAGCAACGGGTAAGAGGCAGGAAAGGGCCGACGAAAAGGTTTGGACCTGGAGGGTTGGATGCGTGGTAGACAAGGGAACGCGGCCGTCCATTTGCGAGCCGCCCTACCCCCGGTACCCCGGTCTCACCTCAGGAAGTGTCGTTGCGCGGCGGAGAGACGCTCAGCTTCCAAACTAAGTGCAGTCCAGGTCTGTACGAAGTGTGTACGTACCCGTCGAGCCAAGGAGGGAAAGCACAGCTCCAGGATGGCAAGAGAGTTTGGGCGTATCGCAGATCATCTTGAGCACGGGCGCACCTCTTGGCTCATCTGAGAAGAGACTTTCATAATGCGTGGAGAACGCAGGCAAATGTTGGTACTCTGGTCTCCACCCATCAGCCCAGTTCTCCCCATAGAGTTAGCACCAGTCAGTCGCGCTTGTATCTGCAAACGAGGCACGCAAGGCAAACTTGTACCTTGTTCCCAACGCGTCCATGCCGAATCAGGGCTGGCTGGGACACATGCTTGCCCGCAGTTGCTACAGCTGCAGCCCATCGTCGCATTGCGCGCCTCGCTACGATAGATCCATGGACTTTGTAACTACCCACGCTAGGTACATGATGCACCCCCGTTTGTCGAATATTCGCTTCTCCGCGGCCTCGATAGTTGGAAAGTGAGACTGCTTCCTTGGCTTCCTTGGCTTCCTTGGCTTCCTTGACTTCCTTACCTACCGCTGGGCCTCTGTGCGGGCACAGAGTGTCTTCCGTCAATATTCCATCCAGTTAATTGTTGATCTCTAAAGCTTGAACGCAATTGTTCTCTTAGTATGTATGTAGTTGTATGTCAAGCTTGATGGAGTCGGGCGGGTGCTCTTGGTAGTTGAACGCGTTGAGGCTTGTCAGAGCCAGCCATTGTCGTAGTTCAATCTCGTGAACGGCGACTTCGTCCCGTGCCTCGCCGGGGATGGCTCCTGCTGGCCTGATACTGGGTAGCCTCTTTCCCTTTATGGTCGTTTGCTATGTACTTGTGCCTCGGTGGTGACTTGCCAACTTCCCTCCGGGCGATGCCTTCCCTCCAACTGGCTGCTGCGATTTGGACGGTTGCCAATGGAGGGAACATACATCCCGTTAAGTTGAAATAATGTACTCTTCCAAGCGAATCTCAGAACGTCTGTCGGGCTATAATACCGTCAACCAGGACTCCATCTGATGATTAACAATGTTGCGCCTGGATCCCACCGTCATTCGCATAACTCTCTCAGAAGTAAAGCAATATGAACGTCAGCGCAAGGCACAGGATCGCAGTGGTCGAGGCAACAATACCCTTCCGAGTCTACAGTCATCTACGAGTAGCCTTACACACTTGTCGCCACAATTACGCTTCTTACCAGACAATGTTCTGTCCGATCAAGAGAGTACCGAGATATACAACAGTCCAACCGCTGTTGACCATGACGATGGCGATTATGACACTGTTGTCGAGGACAGTGAAAAGATGGACACGTCCTCCAGTGATAACGAAGACGAAGGAGAAGGAGACGAAAACGAGTCGATGAGAGATACCTACGAGGGCCGGTTACAGGGCCTCGACACCCCGAGGCTATCACTCCCTCTGCCTTTCTCCGCGACAGCAAGAGTAACAACAGCAACGAACCACCCTGGGACTGTATGTTGTCGTTCCTGGGTTTCGCATCATCTAGCAGTTACGCTGACCTTGGCCACCGGACAGATCATTCGGCTGCCAAGGGGCTTGCAACATAGCGAACCAAGACGCACTGCATATTTGGCACCGGAAACACTTTCGACACGGGCAGCCGCAGTCATCTCTCGACAAAACGATCTATCAACGAGAGTGACTTTACGTCAAGCCCCACTCCACGATAACGATGCGATGAACACATGGCAGCCACATGCTCTAGGTGACCTGACCGAAGCTCAGCAGCATGAACGACTGCAGCCACCATTTCTGCCGAGTATACCAAGTCCTTCCCCGAGATCACCTCGACATGGTGAGAGGACGCATATCCCCACTGGAGGGTTTGCTCACGAAGTCATCCGACAACTCGGCGTCACGGTGGGTTCGGAAGGGACAGGTGAACAAGGAATGACCGTGCAGCGTCTTGCGGCACCTGCCCAAGATGGACGAGATGAGGTAAACAATCCGGGGGATTGACAGAAGGCGGGGCGGCGGGAGGAGGGACTCGTTGAAGAGCCGCTCGGGTTCGCCTAATAAGCAATAACACTTGCATGAATAGGTAATCATATCGGTAGAGACTACCGTATGGGGGCGGCTAGTTGGGCGAAGAAAGGTTGACCAACAAACAGAGAGATGAGAGTGTGGTTTGATGAGCCGTATAGAAAGGCGTTTGTAGTATAAGTACATCAGCTGAAGCGGCTGCTTAGACATGATAGACATGAGACATTGTGAGACTTCCCAGATCCCAGCCTGTGAGTGTCGCAGACTATGGAATGTGCTTGTTAGACCTTGGTCGATCTCGGACTTCTGGAGAACTTCCATCATTCCATAAGATACCGTGCTGATGCCGATAATATCTCAATTCCTGAACAGCTGTAATTATCTTCCAAAGCTAGAGACCTCGACCGGTCTTTCCGTTGGCCCGAGTGATCAGCCAGTCTAGCAAAGCCACACGACGTGCTCCAACTCTGGGGCAACAGACTTGTGATTGACGACGAAGAAAAGGGGAAGGAGGCCATGGCCGAATGAGCCCGTCGACACTTCTCTCTGCAGCTATTATTCCTTACCAAACAGTTCTTGGTCTAAGAGGACGGGCACAGTGGTAGCTAGATCGGCATAGAGGGCTGCTTGATTCATTGGTGTTGATGGAACAAAGAGGCTTAGGTTTCTTGTGTTCACTGTGCTGCATAGAAGACCTATTTCGCTTTCTTTACGATACATAGATATAATTTACCCACAGGAGGTCCATATGTTTTGTCCGCATAAGCCGACGAGAAGAGGCGAGTTATTCAAATATTCGGCATCCACAAAGTCAGACGAGACCAAGGCTTCATCACAAAATCACTCAAGGCCGGAAAGGATTATTGGTTCGTGATGTTATTACACATCTAACAAATACAGTCATCGCCTCATCTCAGTCATCCCAAATATGCCGTCATGCTCCCAGTGAATTTCCGCCACAACTTCTGGGGCCATGGCACCCAATGCTTTTTGCTTCCCTATTTTGCCTCATGATGAAAATGAACAAACCAGAAGAAAGATTTAACAGGGAAAAACGACCGCTGTCCCCAAAGCTCCTCGCAATGCATCATGAGATTTTCCAGGCCGAGCCATATAAATGCCACAAAAACTCCACTTCAAAATGTCCTGAACCTATGTCTATCATTTCTCTTTTGCTTCCCCAATAATGCATGTTGGATAATGCTCTCCCACCAGGTAAATTTGTAATGTGATGCCAGAATACAAAATCGAAGTGGGAATGTTTGGCAAACGCCGAGAAGGGTGGAGAGGGAATTGGTATCATGGCTTTGCTTTAGCACAAAAAAAAATATGAAAAGGAAAAAGAAAAAGCGAGAAGCTAGCTGGAGGTGCTGCTAGCTCTGCGCACTTCAATGTTGACATCTTTGGGCGAACCTCCCATGCTCAAGACTCGATGCAAGAGGCTACGCTTCGTCATGCTCGTCCGTCGGTATTGGTAATCAGCGTCGCACGGGTAAGGCAGAATCGGGCTGCTTTGCTGGCTTTGCCGCTCAAGCTCGGCATCCCATCCATAGAGATCCTCGTCGAGTGCGGCATGGCAATACGATGCAGGCTCATCGTTAGGCATTGCAACGGCCTCATCCTCTGGTGGAGGATGAACGTTGATGCCCAGCAGGTTCGAAAAGTCCGTGAATGGGCAATCGATTGGCGGAGATGCGGGCAAGGGCAGCTCGCTTGCATCGATCTCCTTGGCAGCTAACTCGTCGGTGAAACTTCTGCCAGTCGGTTCACCAGAACTTCCTGTTACAGCCGCAGGTATGGCTGTAGTGGGTACCGCAGGAGAAATAATTCCCATATTGTGAACAGAAATCGGCTTCAACTTGGCGTCTTCAGATATCTCCGTAGTGATCCTCAGGGGAGCGGGAGTGTTGGTTCGCGATCGAACTCGAATAGGGCGTCGTACCATCCAAGGTCGTGGGTTGTGGTAAGCGCTAAATTCCTTTGCGGCCATGCCACCTTTGCATCCACCATTGTTGATGTATTGTGGACCAGCAAAAGCAACCTTCTTAATTTCACTGCCGGCCTCTGACGCCGCGAGAGGTAGTCGTTTGCCTGGATGAGGCTCCTCCCACGGGTTGAAAAGGTGACGGACACGTGAGAAGCCGTCCAGAGGGAGGTGAGAAGATGATGTCGCTGGTGTGGTGGATGTAGTTGATGGCATGACCTCTGGTTCCTATAAAGGGTTGCTCTGGCTGGCTTCAGCCATTGTGACGTCCCCGTCGGTGACCGGGGCCGATGATGTCGGGTTGTTTCGTCGGTTAGAGCGGGATTTGCGATGCAGGCCCAACTTGGCGCCAACTTTCTTCCACCCGTTGTTGTGTGCAGTTAATGCCCGTTGAAGTCCACCCGGAGAAGTGCTGAATGTCCAGTCTGAAGTTGGCGGAGTAGTGGGAGGAGTCATTGGCTCTGTACCAGGAGAAACAGCGCTTCCACTATCATCTGTCAATCCCTCGCGTTCAGCGTGTTCGCCCGACGCAGAAGCCGACCGACTTGTGGCACCACTGCGACCCAAAGTCAGCTGGGGTAGGAACTTGGGAGACTTCACGGGCTCTTCTGACCTAGCCCCAGCACCCTCGGCCCGGAGGCGCAGGCGACCAGGTCGCCCTTCGTCCTCCGCTGTACGACAATCGCCATGGCCCGGTTGGACCGACTCGATGAAGGGCACAAGTACAGAATCGTTCATGAGCTCGTAGACGATCCTGACGGCGTCGTCGAGTTCACTTGGAGGAGGTGGGGTCGAGGAGCAGTCTAGGTTCGTAAGATGATTCCGCACGGGTGAAGGAAGATTGACCTCCCGCGGCGCGTATGGGATGATGTATGCTTGCATGAGCTTCTCCCACAACGAGCAGACATGCTCTTTGCCATCTCCGATCCATTCCTGGTTGGTGATGATTTGCTCGTATGCCTTGCGGTATCTGTCGGCGTCCATAGTGAATTCCAGGGTTTCCAGGCAGTGGTTCTGAGAAAGGTATGCCATAAATGCTGCCAGTGTCCATGGCGGCGTAGAGATATTAGAGAGAATTTCCGAGAGAGTCGGTGGTGTTAAGATGACGGCGCCGGGCATCAAGGCCCCGCTGGTGGGTCTCGACCTCGACATGATCGTGGTGTATTCCCAGTCCAGGACAGCTGAAGCCGGACTGGGTGGTGACAGTTCCCTCTCGGGTGACGGTGAAGGACTCAGGTATATGGGGGAGTGCTTTCTTATCCTGGACCTTTTCATTTCCACGCCAAGTTCTTGTGCAGAAAATATTGCAGTTGCCAAAAGTCGCTGATCAAAGGATAGCAGCCGACTGGAGTTGGAGGGCAGTCCTGTGTGCCTAGAGTTGTATCGATGACCCCATAGAAGGCGTTTGTTGTCGCAGATAACTACCGTGAGTGCAGCCTTTCTTCGGTTGAGACGAATTCGGGTCGTCTTCCACGGCACAATTTCCTGGGCGAAAGTCTCGGTAAAGTGACCAAATCCTGCTACTTATTGCACAAGTGGGTACAGCGAGTTGAGTAGCGCTAATCGTCGATCGAGTGAAGATTATCGATGTGGTGTAAAATGCTTATTGTTGTGTGTTGAGTCCAAAAGAGCGAGCACAGCTTAGATCGTAGGGAGCTGTTGTGCAGGAAAGGACGGGGCCCACGGGAGGTATATAGCCCAGAGCGTTGTAGATAAGGGCGCTATGTTCAGGCGGGCTTTGGGAGGAGGCTTGCACTAAGACAAGATTGGAGACGCTAGAAGTGTCTTGGTGACGGGAATGGAATTGACTCGTCGCAATCGGCAATGAGTGTGCAAGATGCTGCTTGCAGAATGTCGCAGACGACAGTCAGTTAGCAGTAAGAGTGCAGCGAAGCCTCGAGGTAGACCAGTGGTGGTGTGTTCTGAGAGATGTATGCGGAATGCAATCAAGCCACACGTTCGACGGTTATCCAATACGGTCGAGTGTACGATGCGGTACAAATGGGTTCCTTTGGCTCGTGGCTTCGGAGACTGGGGACGTGACGTCTTTACAGATTCGAATTCGGGAGGGGAATGTTGATCGAAGGAAATAAACGGGATGGGGCGTGGTTTGTTGGTTGAATTCGTCGCTACAGTGGTAGGTCTCTCGAAGTTGGTATTTTGGTAGGGTAAGGAAACTAGCTATGAGAGAACGTGGTAGCGAGTTGGTGACCCGTGTCGGAATAGTGGTTGTGTTGTGTTGTATGGTGGACACGAGGAATGAAGTCGGCGACGATGTTGGTGCGGCGGCAGGCGATTGATGTCGTGCAGCGATATGGATCTCTCTTTGATTCTGAGGGAATATCAGGCGAATGTGACGGATGGTGTCGAGGAAAGGATTCGCAGTGGATCGTGAGAGAGTGGAAGAAGTAGGCGAAGAAGAAAAAAGGGACTAGTAAGTATGTCTGTCTTGTGAGAATCGGGAGTGTTTGAGAAGGAGAGGGAAGATGAAGCATTAACGGTAGGATTGATGGGGACGGGTAGGAGGAGAGGACATGAGATAGCTAAAAGCGTCCGGTATCCATCCAGTCAGAACAAGTACATGGGGCAAGTATCTTTTGGACGGCGGCCGTACCGTATCATGCCTGTGGTAGGCGAGGAGGCGAGGCAAGGAATGGTAGAGTAAGGTCAGGTTAGGTAGGTACGGGGCCCGCAAGAGGGAATGCTCCGCACTGAATTAGCGCGCCGGGGGCCATGTGCCTCAAGTACCAAAAGTCTTGGGGTGCGGGCAGTATCCGTACGTACTTGGACAGCAATGCCTATACTAGATATGACCCAACGAGGCGTGACCACGAGTAGCGGTACCTTTAGTCCCAAGGCCCTTAGTACCCACTAAGCCACCCCTCAGCGAGAAGAAGGGGGAGCGCCTGCGCACCTCAAATCAGATCCATCCTTCCATCACCATGCTGCCCTGGCCCCAGGGCCATTCCCCCCATCCACCAGACCATTTTCAGGAGGGTCCCAGTCCACACAATCGCTCTTGCCTGATGAAGGGAGACCCGGACGAGGCGCTGAACGGGGCAAAGGCCCCAGGATGTGTGCGGGCTGTCGAGCAGGGGATGCCTGTCAGCGGAAGGGGAGTTTGCCAGGATGTGGGAACAAGTCCACTGCGCTATAAGCGGTACGAAGCAGGAGACCACGAACAAGGTATCGGGGACAGCGAAAGAATGCGAAAGAGGTACTTGATCAAGGCCTTTCAATCGGGTATCACCGCCGAAGAGGAGGAGACAAAAAGAAGCACCGACCAACCCTGTACGGGAATGCCTATGGCCCAGTCAACAGTACACTACCTACGCTGTGTGCTTGCAGGGTTCACTGGGCAAAGGAGACAAGACGAGGCAGGAGGCACATCATTGCCCGGAAAGAGAAGGCCAGAAGACGACTGGTGACCAATGGCAACCAAGCGATGGAATATGCGCATTGTGTTGCTTTTGATACTTCCATGTCGCTTCTACTGCGCAGACCAGTCTTGAATAGTAAACGGCGAACAAGCTTCAATGTGCACGCGATACCTACACAATCGTGACACGAACTGAGAAGTTTGGATGTTCTACAGATACAGCTACACAAAGACACGCTGAAGCTACACCAAGTCACCAGCATCGCGGGCGGGTACCGGTGGAGGCATGCGGTGACTAACAGCCTGGAAGTGACGCGTTGCTCTTGCGACGACACCGTGGCACAGAGGCGGGGAGTATTTGCTGCGGTTGGGCTGTAGCCTGCGGTAATGTGGTTGCGTGTGAAAACCCTCAAAGCTGTCTAGTACCTAGAGTGTCTGTATGTATCCGTACAGAGTCCAATACTCCAGATGGAACTTCAGCCCGCCAGAGACGGGACTTTCGGCTTGCTAAGGAAGCCGAGTACCCTCCAGAGACTGGAGTCGAGGCAGGCCAGAAGAGCAAGAGCATCCTATCGTAGCCGAGAGACGATGGGTGAAGGAACTTGAGTGGTCTTCTTTGCCCCGTCCTTCTGTGGAGTCGTATTGTCGTAAAGGGGGTTTTGGTATTATGGTAGCAGTGACCTTGGACCCCACCCCGGTTCCCCCTTTCTCCTTCGTTTTCTTTCTGGTCGTCTTCCTCTTCTTGTTCTTCTTGTTGTTGTTGTTGTTGTTGTTGTTGTCAGGAGCTTCAGCTGTAGTGCGCGGAGGGCTGGCTTAGCAATCAACGGGGGGTGGGAAGTTCACAGTCTGAGCAGCAATCGGAAAGTGACCTTGACCTAACAGGAATGATGCACAACAGCGGCAGAAGAAAGGCGGGAAGACGAAATGGAAGGCGGATGGAAGACGGGATGGAAAGGTGACGGAACCTGGAAGGGAGGGGATTTGGGAGACAGTCGTGGTAAAGGAAAAGGGGTGGGACAAGCCGTGATCAACTGAGCCCAGCTAAGGTAGATTGGTGTGAGTGGAGCCTCTCAGCACTAGACTGCGCTAGAAGGCTTCGAAAGAGGGTCCGAGTGATCCAATGATGGCTCTGTATGGGCCGATTATGCCCGTTTAGGGAAAGCCGGTGGAAAACAGGAGACACCCAAATGGAAGGCATATGGAACAATTCGATCAAGGGAAGTCGACAGGGATTCTCCTTATGTAAGCCAGTGAAGGTACGGAGTACATGCTCTTTCGTACCTACCTCAAGGCACCTTAACCTGCCCAGAGAGGAGCTGATAGGCAATGGGCTGGGCCCTGACTGAACGGGATGAGAGTGAGGGATAACGGGCGCGACGGGATCGAAATGAGCGGGTCGCGGGATTACGGTGGTCTAGGCTAGGTCTTTTTTTTTTTTTTTTTTTTCTTCACTTCTTCTCTTGTTCCCCGTCGCAAGTTCTACAGCTTTACAGTTTTCCATCCTCTATTTTTTCGTGCAGCACATGGTATTTCACGCAAAGTGTATGCAGTATCCGTACGGGGAACTCGTATCTTTTCTTTGCAAAATATTCTCTCAACGGTAGCCTCGGCAGGGTAGACACGGCTTCCCAGGGACTTGCTGCCCGTTTTGCGTTTGCCCTCTGGGCCTGGACCACCAAGGTACGACCGTTCGGCTTCATCATCTTGGTTCCATTGCCCGTTTTCTACGGAGTACGGAGCCAAGAACTGGGGGTTACGTCGGCTTCGCCTATCCCTCAACCGCAGTCTCAGTCTGTAGGTCTCCCGAGTGGCCCCCGGTCATCTCGCCATTTCGCGCTTATTCCCTCGTCCATTGACTCCATTGGCCTTGACGAAGAAATGAAGCAGACCAGACCCGTCACCGTCATCGTGATCGTGGTGCCGGCTATCCTCTTCACCTGCTTGGCCCCATGGCCGTTTCCCCCGTTTCATCCCATCAACATCCAATCACTTGACGCGCTTGTTGGCCATCCACAGTTGACCCCTTCCTCCGTCCCATCTCGTGCCCCATTGCATCCGCTGGTCGCTCCATCAGTCCATCTGCTTTCGATAGGCGTCGGGCACTGGCGCCGCCGCCGGTCTGACTGTCTGACACTTTTGATGGGAGCCTCGTCGCTGTCTGTACAACGCATGCCAATGGCGTGATTTGATGTCACGGATTCCACCAGAATGACTGGACAAGACTTTCGTTGCCATATCGTATCTCCATGAACAACGTGCGGGACAGGGCTCCGTTTGTACAATCGACGACTTAGGATCTACTCTGAACTCAAGCAACTCTTAGGATACCTACTTTTGTGAAGTATCAGCAACCCTCAAACTTCATACTTGCTTCTCCACATCCTCAATGGACGGAGCATGGTTACAGGCTCTCCCAAGTGTAAGACAAACTCATTCTTACTAACAGGTTGACACCATCCGGACCTTGCTTTACATAGAGCAACCTGTAGGGGGTTATCCGTGCACTCATTCCCAGTACCTACTCAGGCCCTCGCTATTTCGCGCTCACAACTCATCTTTGGGCTGATATGGCGCCTTCCATTTCCAATAGATCCCTTGCTATTTCGGCCATCTCTCCGTCTCACCGTCCGTTTCGCTTCCCACTTAGCTTCGGTGGCCGCCATGATTCAATCAGTCGCAGTCGCGCAGTAATTCTCTCTCTCAGACTCTCTAGTTGGCTCCGCAAAAAGTGCCAAATGCCAGGAACTCCCTGGCTCGCCGCTCGTACGAGCTT